GTTATAGGTTATTGTTATAGGTGCCACGGATTTTAACATAACCCGTGTTAAACCCAAACCATGCGTGCATGACAACCGTCACCCGACACACGGTTACTCAACGAATACCGTACTCTACAGTAGACATTTTTCGCTCTCCTTCAAAAATAGAATTGGTTTATTTCATATTTATTGTGTCTGTGTCAGTGTCGTATTTGATTTCACATGTTTGGTTCGATCTTGTTTATGGTGTACATTATTATTACCAATTTTATATGGCCGTGTGATGCACCGCATTTTTTCAACGGTTGTTTATAAATTTCTGATTGTATTTATTCTTATTTTAACATCATAAAAACAAAAATGATACACTTGTACATGAAACAGTAGGTAATGAACTGTAAATGCGGGCGATTGCGCTATCAGGCGAGCCAGCGAGCGAGCGATTGCGCGAGCGGACACTTCCGGATTTGCGCGGTCGGAAAAAAAGCGGAAATTGCGCGGTCGAATTGAACAAAGCGAGCAAAAAAAAAGAGATCGAAATCCGGAAGCGGGCGGGAGGTTGGGCGAAATGAGTACTGTACTACCAATATCCTGGTATGTACGATACTAATGATATCATGGTATGTACGATACTATCGATATCCTGGTATGTACGATACTACTGATATCCTGGTATGTACGATACTACCGATATCCTGGTATGTACGATACTACCGATATCCTGGTATGTACGATACTACCGATATCCTGGTATGTACGATACTACCTGTAACCTGGTATGTACGATACTACCGATATCCTGGTATGTACGATACTACCGATATCCTGGTATGTACGATACTACCGATATCCTGGTATGTACGATACTACCGATATCCTGGTATGTACGATACTACCAATATCCTGGTATGTACGATACTACTGATATCCTGGTATGTACGTTACTATCGATATCCTGGTATGTACGATACTACCGATATCCTGGTATGTACGATACTACTGATATCCTGGTATGTACGTTACTACTGATATCCTGGTATGTACGTTACTATCGATATCCTGGTATGTACGATACTACCGATATCCTGGTATGTACGATACTATCGATATCCTGGTATGTACGATACTACTGATATCCTGGTATGTACGATATTATCGATATCCTGGTATGTACGATACTACCTGTATCCTGGTATGTACAATACTACCGATATCCTGGTATGTACGATACTACCAA